CAATGTTGTGTTCCACGTGGCTGGTTACTCTGGTAATCATAAGTTTGTTTGGATTTCGAAACGAACGTTGATTGCTTGGAGAGGGATGCGATGCGGGATGTGCATGTGATAATCTGCATATTTAAGTATAGTTTGAAGCATGCAGGTGTTCTATCTACTTTTGAAAATGATTGAGGTCTACATACATACATATGGCAATGAACACAGAGGGATAACAAAGGTTCGGACGTCAGTAGATATACTTCTCAGATAATTTCAATAACGTACGCTTTAAAAGATTGTTTATATTACCTATGTAAATATACATGCGAAATTACGTTTTCAGTTAAGTTTAACTATATGTTTCAGCGCATATTTGCATGACGTTCTTAATAGCAAAAAGATCGGTGTGTTAGTGGGAAAAGCATGATAATGAAATGATGGTATAGGCGTGAATGCCCCAAATAATAGACCTTAGACTTAGTGGGAAAATATAGTATGGAAGCAGTAACATGCATTTAAGAAAGATGATGAAATTACTGAATGAAGCCAACTATATCGCCCAGTATCTGTACTGCCTTTACGAGATATACGAAAGAGTAATGAGAGTTATGCCTTGTCTATAAGAGTGAATTGTATGGAACGCCATAGTCGACAAAAATCACTTCAAGTTCATTTAAATAAAACTTATTTCGCGCGTATTGTTCGCCATCGTTCTCGTATATGACTAAAATGCACGTATCTAAAACATCACACATCGTGTGTAAGTTTATTCCGCCTTATATTAAACGCCATTATGGACAAAATACTTCCAGTTCATTTAAGTAAAACGTCGCGAGTATACTTCGTCAACGTTCTCGTGCGACTAAAATGCACGCGTTAGAAACATCACACATATATTCATGGCACCATGTTCATAAATACGTCGCATATATAAAACTTCTATAAATCCTTACCTATACGACTTCCTGCGCGTAAGACCAAAAAACCGCCAGTTAGACTTTGTAAGACAAAATTTTTGGTCCGTCGGACTTCCTACACGGAAGAGAAAATTTGCTGGTAAATTTTGTAAATTCAGTTATCACCCGCACGACTTCCTGCATGGAATGTCAAAACAGCAGTAGTTTCTCCTCTAACGACCTGTAAGACACTTGGCCTTAGTGGATTTTGCTAAGAAAAACAATGTGAAGTCAGCACCACATTAAGCATACGATCATAATTAACAGTGTGGCGTGGCTTGCTACGGTGCAATTTCGTTCTAAACAAATTTTTGGCGTCCTAGAAACCCCAAGTGATTTTTTTTGGGAATGAAATAACCACGCGTGAACAAATTTCGTTGCCGATAGTAGCAAAACGAGATGCTAGTGATGTATATTGACTACATTTGTATAACACAAAACGTGTAACAATATCGTTTTCCCATAACATATAAGAAATAATACTTATAATAGTGCTTTTCAACTTAGAATGAAATGCGAGTATTTAGGTTCTAACTTTTGGATGGCGCAGTGGGAACGCGGAAGGTGTGTGGCAGACTAAAAAAATTTGAAGTTTAGAGTCCTGCAAGTGCGATTTTGGGGAACTCTCTATACGTTAAGTGCCGAAAAGAAATTATCCATAGTCACGAGGGCGTGATTTATTCGGAGTAAAGTGTTGAATCCGAACCCGAATTGTGTTCATGTAAACGTAAACATGGCAGGCAGTAATCCGTGTAGGAAGTCCGACGGACCAAAAATTTAGTCTTACAAAGTCTTACTGGCGGTTTTTGGTCTTACGCGAAACGCGCAGAAAGTTGTATGTGAGGAATTGTGCCATGAAGTCTTAAACGCCGGAAGTAGAAGTCTCATACACGATGTGTGTGATCACTGTGATCACTTTTAACGCGCGTGAATTTTAGTCGCTCGAGAACGTTGATGAAGTATACTCGCGAGAGATGTTTTACTTTAATGAACTCGAAGTATTTTTTCTATTACGGCGTTTCATAGAATTGAAGGGGATTTTATTTCCGAATTACGTATGCATGCATTCAAACAAGCCGAAATTTGAACAGTGCATTCACGGTTAATTTCCGTTAGAATCTGGTTATTATCAGACATGGAAAGAGCCTGGAAAACTGGCAAAGGTGGACCGGTGGAAGAGACTCCGGATTAGTCCTGACATACATTTTAAATGGTATACCGACTTTGGACCTGAAATAAAAATTAAAATTGAATTTAATCTATGCTAAGTGCTGTGACGCAAGTCAACACGTACGCCAAACGCACATGTACACAAATGTATAAGTGCTCTTAAGTCACCAAGCAACTGAAAAAGTAATAGGAAAATTTACGGTTATCGTTCGCCATGTGCTGAATGGTATTTGGCGCTGATGTTAATGCACTATATTTGAAGACTGATTTGATTATAAAATTTTGAATTTCGGCTATAATATTCCGGCAATAACCCAATGCTAAAATGTAATTCGCAATTAATGAATTTCTATGAATTTGACATGAGCTGTTAAGTTGACTGGTAGGCGTGTTGTAGTTTATCGTTGTATAATAAATAGAGCTGGTTTAAAAAACGTCAACTAAGCAAACTTAATTGTACCGCTTTATTGACTTGCAACACGCGCAATGAGTTACTTTTGTAATGTTTTGAAGGTTGGACATGTTCAGCTGAATCGATATTTGAATTTAATGAAGTCTTGAAACAAAACCAGGGATGAAGAACTAAAAACAAGACTTGAATTTACGACAGGTAGGCTATATACTAACGCACTAAAGCATATGATTAATTACGTCCTAAAACTGAAATGGCCCGCATGCATGCAAAACGGCCGGTTCATAAACTGGTCGAATTTGTACAGTATATAAAGTAAGCTAATGGTGAAAATGCAAACACATTTAAAGTATAAGGAAAAAAATGTACTTACGGGAATGCGACAGTGTTTCTCATGTAAGATTCAGAATTATTTCATGTATTTTAAATGTGATTTATGTTACGAGAGATATTGTCTTCTTTTATCTCTTTAGTTTTACCTGCATGCATGCTTATATTCTTTAACCATATAAGCACTAATGTTTCTCACTGATACGAATGGTGCTTTCCTATACCTTTGGAAATATCACAACGTTTCCGCGACTACGAGTTTCCTAGTTTGCTCTAGGCTAAGGCTCAAAAGCTGTAAGATTTATGTTATAAATTAATGAGTCGGGCGACAATTTACGACACTAAATTTAATTGTTGATGGCATAGACAATACCGGATAAGCATGCATGCATGCACGAGCTATTTTTTTCAATTCCTCATACAGGGTGTCAAATCTCACGCCGTTAGTTAATCAATTGTGTTATTGTGAGTGAGGCAATGTCTATGATTAGGGTATGTCTTTAACCGGCTGACCCGAAAAGTTCTTAATAAATTATTGTATTTGCTATAGGTATATGGGACTTGCATGAATAACGTTTTGTATAATTAAGCCCACTTATAATTTTTGAGTAAAATACAATTGTGTCGCATCAAAATTCGCGCTCTCTTTATGTAATAAAATTTCTTTCAGTATATAAAATATAATAGCTTCAATCGCTTAGAAGTTATTATCAGTCAAGTCTTTTTAAGGACATCCAATATAATAATATATCGTTTTTACAAAAATCATCTATTTTCCACCCGTTAGGTGTGGGTCTGGTCTGCATGGGTAACTAAAGTGATTGAAGATTCCTACATTATTTTTTCACTCGGAGCAACTTCACCAACTTGGCTTGCAATATGGCATAAAAAGATTTTCATATTTTTTAAAACAAAAAAAAATTTTTTGGTGACCGTAATTTTTCGCGCATTAACTGGAAAGTTCATGGCTAAAGTTCAAAGTTTTTAACTCAAAACAGCATGGAAGTAGTATGTGCATGAGGTATTGGAAAGTCTTTTATAGTCGTATTTGTGTTTCCATGTTCATTAAAGTCGAGATAATATACTCCGTAGCGTAGCCAGCCTGACGATTTATTTGCTATGCAAATTTTATGTTAAATTCATTGTTTCACAGTCAATGAACATCGAAATATTAGCATAGTATGACTAAATTGTCGGGGTGGCAACGCCACTGAATATACTACAGCTGAAACGCCCATGACATTGATGACAATCTCTATAGTACTCTTGTAAACATATCAGTGTTAAAAGCAAATAACATCATTAGTTAAATTCCGAGTTACGAAATGAATATTACAACTTTGTTCGATTGCAAATTAGAACTGCCCACTTCTTATGCCAAGTGTCAAACCATTTGCAAACAAAAATGTAATTTTCGGTGTTTGAAATTCAAAATTGCCCCGTTAACATTTGAACTGAACATCATGGAGTTCATTCTTTTAACTTATCGACTTCAAAGCGCGATCGAACTTTGGATTGACGTGCCTTAATGCCAAGTGTATCAATGATTTTGAAGGTTGTTTGATCCAGCGCTAGTCTACATGAGATAAAACAGGTATTCGGCTTACTCTATAGTCGTTAAAAATTATGACTGATAACGATCAGCGCAAATTAGACTCTGGTTCGCAAAAACGAAGTCATTGATGGTTATCTGAATGTCTCGCAAAGAAACACCTTGGTACTAGGAATATCTTTTATATCACAAATTTCTTACTAATAGTATAAGCAGTTGGGCTATATTATTTCTCATCGTACTATTAGTCTGTATCTCAGGTGTGGGCTGCAAAAAACGCGAAGATATGGAGCAATATATTTATATGTACCAGAGTAAATATAGCACATTGCATCTTCGTACCCATGCACTTCTTTCCGCGTACTTTTAGCGGTTCAGCTACAGACCACAACAAAAAACAACTGTAAATTACTTTCAACTAATATTTTTTATGCGATAATTAATCCCTGCATGGATGTAAACTTCCATCCTCAGTCATATTTAGACTCAACCCCGCGCCTAAAAGAAAACATTAATTAATTTTTGAGGTTTTTTATCACCTAGGGTCAAGGTTTGCACCATATCTTCCACAGGCACCACAGCACACAACTTAGAAAGCATGGATTCGATACCTGAGAAATCAAGATTATTCAGAGAGCAGCTAATATTAACAGAAAAAATCATATTAATTATCGTTGCCATATGCGCAATTCTGGGAAATACTTTCGTTTTGGTCGCCACTTGGAGAGAAAGAAGTCTTCATCAACCAAATAAGTATTTTATCGCTTGCCTGGCTGTTGCTGATCTTGTTGTGGGAATTTTTGTAGCACCAATGACAGCGAATGAACTTAATTTCGTTCACGAATCGCAAGATGCAAAGCCTACTCACACATGTCGCTTTATGGTTTGGTTAGACACGTTTGCGTTAACAGCATCGTTCTATATACTAACCGTCATAAGTTTTGACCGATACCTTAAAATCAGCAAGCCTCTTCATTACAGATCACGAATGACAACTTTCAAATTACTTAAAATTATTTCCTGCATTGTCTTAATTTCAAGTGTCTCAGAGGCCGCGGAAGCATGTCAAAAGTGGGGGGGCACTGACGAAAAGGGGCAATATGTATACTCGATCGCGTGTCACGCACATAGACAACCATCAGACTATATATATATATATATATATATATATATATATATATATATATATATATATATATATAATATATATATTTTATATATATATATATATATATATATATTATATATATATATATATATATTATATATATATACATTTTTTTACCTTAGGTATAGCCCGCCAAAACTACTGAAACGGTACCCTCCGTTTTAAGATTTTATCAACTAAAAATACAAGTTTATAAAACATAATTATTTTATTAATTGTTCAGAGCAAATAATTGCACTGTATAGCCTATGACTAAAGCGACACTTTACTCTGTTTTTCAACGCCTGTCTAAAGCTGCCCTGATAACTAATTGTTTTAGGCTTAGCTAAAGGTAACCGCAAGAGATCACGTCTAGTGTTGTAAGTGCGGATTTGAAATAAACCGGCGGTGGCGGTGATAATTCGAAAAATTTTTTAGAAACAAGAATGAACTTGAGATAATCTCGTCGTGCTCGAATATTAAGCCAGTTAAACAGAAGGCACTTGGGCACTTTATTTCTTAAAATTAAAAAGGGCACATTCATCACAGAAAAAATGGGAAAATCATTTCAGAAAAAGGGCACTTTACTTCTAAAAAAGGGCACATTTTCCCCTTGCACGAAAAGTGGGGGGCATCTGCCCCCAATGCCCCCCCGGTTCCGCGGCCTCTGAAGTGTCTACGCCAGTTACAATGCCAGCTCTCATTCAGGGAGCTGGGGAATCCTAGACACTGGAACCGGATTTTGCTCTGATGCTGCCAAAATTGACAAAGTCGGAAAGGGATTTTTCACCTTCTTCATAATAATGGCGTTTTTTCTCCCCACAATATTCACTCTTGCCATGTACGTTCGCATTTTCTTTATTGCTCGCAAACGTCAAAAAATGTTTCGGAGTGGCCAACTACGCCAAAATTCAAATAACAAAAACCGCGAGAATGCTTTTCTTCAAAATATGAAAGTCATTCGTATGCTATGGGCTGTTATGGGAGTGTTCATATTGTGTTGGAGTCCCGGATTTATTTGGATGCTGGTCTCACTATATTACCCACATTTAATTGATTATGACAATAATTTGCAAAAGGAAAATATCGACATATTTCATGTTATCTCAAACACGCTTCCAATATTTAACAGCCTATGTAATCCAGTCATCTACGCTTGGCTGGATCAAACGTACAGAAAAGCTTTTAAACACCTGTTCAAAAAAATTATGTGTCGGCCCGATGCGAGAAGGCACCCACCGATAGTTCCAATTGAGTTACGTTCATGAAGAATTAGAAAACGAATGTTTTTATGCCTTTAATTCCACCAACAAGCATGCATGCGTTGTTTTTAGCTATCCATAAAAATAGGGACATAAGCGTGCAGGAAGATACCTAATAAGTCCACTTATCAATAATCCGATCGGGCAATTGATTTATAAGACCTATTGCTAAAATTGATGGAAACAACGTGGAATGTCTGGATGTTATAAGAGTAGTCCGTATACTCATGGGAAGGCATGAATGGGTCAAGCGAAGGGCCAAATCTACTATACTATATATGCTTGTAGGATAGGTTGCATTGTAGAATTATCATCAAACGAACTGATACACAATAGCCTTGGAGTTAGTTGCCTTTTTGAACTTTACTATAATATTCCTGTGGATAAGCCATAGGCAAAACACACTCATAAAAATCGTGAATGGCTGAACCTACATCTTATGCATTAATCTATTATGTACTAAAAGTTCAGTTAATGAAGTGAGCGGCAAAAAAGAACAAACTGTCAAGAACATCTGAAGGTTTTCTCTTACAAAAATGAGCCCCACCCCGTTTGGCAGATTCACGAAAACAAAGTTTTGCAGTCTAGCTCAGGGCAAAGTAAATCGAGTTTCAGTTCCCTTATTCAAGCCGCTGCGAGCGAGCCTGGAGCAAGCTAAGCAGCATCCATAATTGCTGCAGAGCAAGCCTTAAGCAAGCGAGCGTAGCAGCATCCTAATTTGTGCAGTGGGCAGTGGAAAACACATTTTAGGGCCGTGAGGCATTGTGGTTGAAAAATTCGTCACAAACCTTGATACAAATCCAGTCGTATTCTTGTCATATGCATATGAAGTTTTATTTGCTTATAATACCCGCAGCAATCCCTACCTGCAGGTTAC